CACGGGCAATTTTTCGTCGATGATCGATTGCCTGTCGTTTCCGTTGAACGTGATCTGGAAAGAATCGATCAACTCGAAGCCTGTGGAATTCCAAAAGACGAATTTTCTTTTGCTGTACGTTACACCTTCTATGCGGCGTTGGAATCGATTCTAGTCACGAAAAAATACTTACCGGGGATATCGACGAATATTATAAACCAAAGAACGTTCGTGGCGTTTATGTACATGTGTGTAAGTATAGGTGACAGCAATTATCTTCTCGATAGATTCGATTGAATTTGTTTCTGCGGTGGAATTGATAAATTGACTAGAAATTTTATAGCAAAGAAGACGAAGAAGAAGAAGGAGTGTGCGAAATATGCAAATAGAAAGTTACGACAAAAGTACGGTGTAATGCGGAATTTCGAAAATCGAACTACTTTGTCGAATCGAACGGTACTTTTAATGTACCACCTTTCGTGGTTTGTGTTCACAGTTCGATGATACACAGTTCGTTACCGCCTCTTCCACCGTTTCCTTCGATCCCGTGTATTCGTGTTATTCTTTTCACGCTTGCGAAAGAAAGACCGTTCCTCGGAAATCTACCGCTTGGAATTGCAAGCACAACGAACGAACGAACGAAACGTTGGAGCGACGTGAAATTCGTTTACTTTAAATCTAACCGATAGGAATTCATTTACTTTAGACACACTTACTACGACGACGAGGAAAAGCGTAATATATTTCGTATTACTTTTCCAACTCCACACTTTCGCGAAAAATGCCAAAGAAATGCGTGCGTGCGTGCGTGCGTGTGTGTGTGTCCTAATGCCTCTCCCTTTCATCGCAGAGACGTTAAAGTGGATCATGAGCGATTAACGATAAGGAGAACGTAAATATCTTTTAAATCTTACTTCCGTGACATGTACGATGAATCATTTTGTCAATGATAAACTTGGGTGTGCGCATCGTCTAGTTACACGTATAACGAGAGTGAAATACAGTTAGTATCGTAGCGACCTAATAGAAGTGAAGTATAAACGTGTTAGAGAGTAGAAAGTAAGACGACGACAACGTTCGAAGTCGAAGGCGGCGATATTTGAATGTAATCGATTTTAATCCAAAGTTAGATACCAAACTTTTACGGTAAACGGCCAAGTTTAGGAAAACAAGTTTTACATGTATTATAGTTTACTTAATTATTCCATGATATTCATCGTGAAACAGTGTATGTAAATAAAGCTTTAACAGCACACCGACGTTTTGTCATTTCGAAAATGTGTTTGGAGCATTGCGCCACAAATGTACACGGTGTAAGTGGTGGTTGGTTCGTCAGGGTAGAGATAGATGGAATAATATGCGATTAAATGCAAAGAGAAACGACGATTCTTAAAAAATACACTCGTTGCTTTCGATCTTCTTATATTTTCTTTCCTTTTTTTTCTCTCTTTTTTTTTAACTGATTTATTAAAAAATTCACACTACTAATTTATCGATAAAAACGTCTTACGTATTAAATAGAAGAATGTTTTACAGGTATTTTTGATACGAAATTCGTGTAGATGTTCACAGTTTTCGATGATTATTACACCGTTCCCCTTTCGTGCGATCGTCAGAATGTATCGATACTCGCTCGCTGCCGTGCGAATCGGTTTAAGCAAAAACCATTCGTCGATTCTTTTTTCTTTTCCCCCGATCAACTGATCGACCAAATGATAAGTGTGTGTGTGTGTGTGTGTGTGTGTGTGTGTGTGTGTGTGTGTGTGTGTGTGTGTGTGTGTGTGTGTGTGTGTGTGTGTGTGTGTGTGTGTGTGTGTGTGTGTGTGTGTGTGTGAATATGTACATAAGCACGTGCACACGTAACTTATGTGCATACGTGTGCACACTCTCTTGTACATAAAATGCTTATTTCCACTTCTTTCTTTTTTCCGTGTGAATGTTTCGTTCGAATCGAGCGTACGTCGAACGAGTCAAGAACAAAAGATAGATCGTACCGATATCGAAATATCGGAACTATCGTTAGTCGAAAATAGTTTCGCATGTACCGTATGATGAAACTTTCTCACACAGTGATCGGCTGAACAGCGCTGACAGATTTTAAAATGGGTGTTAGTTGCGCTCTACAAAATGATACATCGTCTTCTTCTGACCGGTTCTGGAGGCTCCAGTGCCGCTAGAATTGCTTCGTCGAACACGTTCTTCAAGCCTTTCTGAAAAGTACAGAAAATGACACTTTGATTTTATTGAAAACGATTGCAAATTGTACGACGTATCTGCGCTATCGTAAACAGGCTCGTACCTGTGTAAGAGCACTGCACTCCACGTACTTGACTGCCTTGAGCTCTTTGGCAAGTTTCTCACCTTGTTCGGCCGATATAGGCTTTTGTTTATTTTTTGCAAGTTTCTCGATAGTCGCTGCATCGTCTCGTAAATCGATCTGGGTACCAACCAATAAAAATGGAGTCTTTTGACAATGATGAGTTATTTCTGGAACCCACTGATAAGAGATTTCTAATTGATTCGATGGATTGTTTTACCCGATAGATGTAATGATGCGATAGGTATCAAGACGTACCTTCTCCTTGACGTTTTCGAACGACGACGGTGATACAACTGAGAAACAAACGAGAAATACGTCGGTTTGAGGGTAGCTCAAAGGACGTAATCTGTCGTAATCCTCCTGACCTACGAGCAAAAGATTAACATATACAGAGAGGTAGAATCGAATGGAACAGAACCTAAGGAACGTGTAGGATGATAAATTTAGTCGAAAGCATTAGTTACCTGCTGTATCGAACAACCCTAAGGTATACGGTTCCCCGCCGATCATAACAGTAACGGCATAATTGTCAAATACCGTTGGAACATATTCGGATGGGAACTTATTGGTGGTATAGGATATTAACAAACAAGTTTTACCTACTGCACCATCCCCAACCACGACACATTTAATTGTCTGCATTTTTGCCTCGCTTTTCTAGAATATTTCTGTGCGAAACGAAGAGAAGAAGTAACCTATTACTGAAAACAATCTACAATTTAATACACATGGACAGTTTTCTTACGCGAGATTACTTGTCGTCAACGATAATACAAACGAAGTTTTGTCTTGTTCTTGTTCATCGTATCTGGTCTAGTCTAGTCTAGTCTAGTCTAGTCTAGTCTAGTCTAGTCCTACTGAATTCCGTCGCTTTTCGTCACGTCCCATTACATCCCGTAACGTCCTGTCGAGAGTACAATACTCTTTATCGAGTAAAGGGAAATACATAAATATTAAACGCTCCAACGATACGTTCGAAGGTACTCGGGTCTCCGTGAAGCGAGCAAGAAAGAATATTTGCACAACGGACAAGCAACGCGTTTGCAAATTCCCAGCGAGCCGCCGCGATCCAATTACACGTATGTACATATATCTCGTATGAAATAATTGTTTTTTCAGATCGCCATTTTTTATATTTTGTCCAATATATCGATTTCTGTTGTGAAACGATATCGTTTAAACGTATGGAGAAATATATCCAGTGACATCTTTCACGATTTCACCCCTACTAAAATGCGTATTGCATCGAGGAATGAAATATACAAAATTTAACCGAAACACTTACGACGAGTAACTGGGCGTCGACAACACACTTTACTGTCACAAATTTTTCGAACGGGTGTAGAAGGCCGACGAATCTCTAATTCGAGGATACGATATACGACCGCCATCTATGGCACTAGAATTCATAAATTCTGGTGATGGTGATTTAGCTATATATTTTCGATACAATTTCACGATATATCGAATAAATGCGAGGCAGTCGAAGATAAAAATGGAAAGGCATGTGAAACGGGAATGTAAACAATTTCCTACATTCCAAGTTACGCTGTTACTCGATACGAACGCAGTTAGTTCATGCTTGATTTCGTACAAAATTATACCGATGGTGGCGTGCCGATTGTACTTTATATGCTTACGTTTATAAATAGAGGAGAGATGTAACCTAACTAATTGCTCTTGTATAAAATAGTGTAAATAGAAGATATATATGTGTATATAAGATATATAAAGGGAGGAAAAATATTTAGACGTGGAGATAAATTGAATCGAAAGAATAGACAACCGCAAGACGCGTGGTTGATTCTACTTGCTCGGTCGCACACTCAGTGTTGCGAAAGATTGGATTACTCTTTAGAAAAATAGCAGTTATGGGTTTGCCTCGTGTATATTTCGACGTAGCTGCTGATGATAAACCATTGGGTCGTATAGTGATGAAATTGCGTGCCGATGTAGTTCCAAAAACGGCGGAAAATTTTCGTGCACTTTGTACAGGGGAGAAAGGTTTCGGTTACAAAGGAAGTACCTTCCACCGAGTAATTCCCAATTTCATGTGTCAAGGTGGTGATTTCACTAATCACAATGGCACAGGAGGAAAATCTATTTACGGAGAGAAATTTGAAGATGAAAATTTTGAATTGAAACACACAGGTCCTGGTATATTATCCATGGCAAATTCTGGACCAAATACCAACGGTTCGCAATTTTTCTTAACTACCGTAAGAGCAGCTTGGTTGGACAATAAGCATGTAGTTTTTGGTCATGTAACAGATGGTATAGGTGTAGTAAAAAAAATTGAAAGCTACGGTTCTCAAACTGGGAAAACACATCAGAAAATTGTAATTACTAATTGCGGTCAATTGTAAAGTATTTCGGTTCGCTTAATTCTAACGTTCCAAGTATGTGTTTTTTGGATGAAATATCTTCGTTGTTATTTTTATTGACTTTTGTTAAACGAATGATATAGTAGAAAAATACAGGGACAGCGATTGAAGTAAATCAAGATCCTCCCGTTTCTAGGTGATTTTCTTTCGTTTGTACGTTATTCCATTTAAAACTTGCATCTTATCCGGGCACGTGAAATTATTTACGAATTATTGTGTGACGAGAGCTGGGTTCAATTGTGATTTGTACAGCGAATAACCATAATTATGCGAAATAAATTTATTTAAAAAGCATTATAGTCAGATATTAACCGTTTATTGGAATTTACAAATAGTTAACTTAGGTGTATAAATATCTATTGGCAATCGTTCGTGTACATACATACATACATACATACATACATACATACATACATACTTAGATACCAGTGTTGGGATGAAATTTTATTCGTTGTTCGTTCGTTGTTCATGATGTGAAATAGACGAAATAGATGAAATAGTCTCGTATATGCAATTGTCACCTCGGCAGCTACTGATATTGCCGAACTCAGGACTGCACGTAAGTACGCATGCAACACCTTGTGGCTTGTGAAATTGTAAAGGATTACAAGTTGACATCTCGCGAACAGGTAAACAGGTAACGTCGATCGAAAAGGTAAAGTTGGCGTTGGTAGGGATTTACAATTCGTTATTCACGAATTATTTACGATAAGGCATAAAATGAATTTATCGGTTACTCGCAAATAACGAATAAATCGAATTTATCCTTTCACTTGTTTCTGTTTCTATTTGTTATTGAAGATAACTTTTGCCCAACACTGATAGATACATACATACGAAACGTAAGTACACGCAGGTGCGCGTGCGCGCGCGTTTATCACGTAAGAGAAGTGACGAGACGAGACGAGACGAGACGAGAAAGAACGCGCGCGCGCGCGCGTATGCAATCAAGAAGGGCTGATCGATTTGGAAAGAAATTCAAGCGTTGGCGAGCACAAAACGTTAATCGTGCATAAAGCAACTTTACGTATATTGGCGCTTGAACGATTTAATCGTACATAACGATGTCCGTATAAAAAAACAGTTTTGGTAGAAATATGTTGAGGGGTAAATGCGTAGATCGGTAAACGCATGGGTTTGCAAGGTACGTATCAATGATCGCACATTGGTAAATTAACCACGAAGAACATATTCAACTCGAGGATGGAAGCGAATGCCAAAAATATGACGTACGTAACGAGACAAGCGATTCCAACGGATCTCGTTAATTTAAATTTACCAATTAGAAGAGATACGTAGAGAACGGAAAGAGTAGAAAATAAGGATATCGAGCTGTAAACTAGCCCTTGTGAATTGATGGTCACGTAATGTCTGTCGGGCACTGTGGGGAAAAATGTTGCTTTCAAAAACCATGGTAAACCCAGACAAAGCAATACGTCGAATACGTTTGAACCTATCGAATTACTTATGCCCATAGCTCCATGCCCTGAAAATGAAAACATGACGCGTTAGCAACTTATTCGAATTCATATGATACGTACATATAGCGAGAAGTAAGTACTTACGCTCCAAAGCGATGTAACTTTGAGATGGAGCGTGAGCGCGCGTGCGAGAGAGAGAGAGAGAGAGAGAGAGAGAGAGAGAGAGAGAGAGTGTCAGTCGCAAAAGGTCGACGTTATAATCAGATGATCGTGGAATGAACGTTGCGAAGAAAAAGAGTCACGTGGTGATAGTACACATTAAATACGTATATGTGTGTATATCTATACTACAGAAACGACGTGGCTCGTAGCTGACCGCAAAAGAAGCGATCCCAAGATTGGGCAAATTTGATAATAGTGGCACAATAATGTCACGTCACGCGGTACGCTATCGTAACCCAGTCTCTTTTCACGATAGCATTATCGCGATTGTTATTCGCCAGGTATATGTACATAGATGCACATGTGTATGTAGGTATGCGTATTTGTTGATGGGTTTGTCGATTATGTACGATAGATGGTAATAGAGAGAAATTTGTTCAAATGACGATTGAATTTACTCGATCGATTTAGAGGTTTTGCATTACTGGCGGAAAACGGTATGAAAGATGGGTGGTGCTTGAAGAATTACCTTGATTAGCAACGATAACACTGGATACAGC